ATGAGCTACGCGTGTTTCAATGCCGCCAAAGTATGCCTTACTGCCATTACATTTTATATTAAAATGGGGCACAGAAATCTCGCTGATTTCTGCATTTCATAGCAGCATCGTATTTCTGTTTTGAGGAGGAAAAGGGGGTGGAGAGGGTGAGGGTCGCTTTTCTTGAAAGAGAGAAAAAGTGGGGGAGGATGGGAGGGAGGGGATGTCTATGAGGGGGAGAGGCTGAGGCTGAGGCTAAGGCTGAGGCTGAGGCTGAGGCTGAGGCTATCGAGAAGGGTCTCCGATTTCCCGACCCTCTCTTTTCCCCTTCAAAATGCCGAATTTCTCTTGTCACTTTTGAATCAACCCCTGACCACTCATTGAGAGTTTTGAGGTGTCCATTGAAATTTTTGCGCGTTTTCGAACCTTTACAAATTCCGCATTCCGAAGAGCGAATTTCAATAGAGACGCTGAAAACTGTCTAACTAGATAGGTTGATGCATAAGTCTTTTCGTTTTTTTCGTACTTCCGTTAAAAAGTAACAAATTCACCAATTAATCTATAGTTTGCTCTATAAAAAAAGTGTTTTTTTTGTTCAATTTGCATCTTTTTAAAATGAATTTCGGTTCACTTTCAAGCAAATTCGAGAGTGAAAAACGCCTTTTTCGTAAAAATCTATAAAAAACTCTACGGAAAAATTGGCTGAATGAATTTCCCTGAAATTTTGGCGAAATATCATATCAAACGTTTTTTTTCTCTATCTTTTATCTATTGACACGAAGATAGGTTTTCTTTAGCTAAGGTGTCTAAACCGCATCATCGAGTTAGCCCTTTTTGACTACCCGACTTCATACTCTCAAGAAAATCCAGGCATTAAATATTTTTAAACCCGTTTTAATGTTATTTTGCAGAAAAATAATTGCTTTTTCTAATGAAATCAACCGTAGTTTAATTCGTGCATTTGTTGGCTTGAAACGGCAGACGAAAAGGAACAAAAACACTTATGCATCAACCTAATAGATAGGTGTCTAACTAGATTTTCTTTTAACACATTTGCGATGATGGAATGATCAAAATTCATAATTTTCTTAAATCTTATTCACTAGATTTAAGTGTCATTTGTTTTTATCTTTCAAAAAAGTTAGCAATTAGCAAAGTTAGCGGTACTTTGGCGGCATTGAAACACGTGTAGCTCATTGGTAGAGCATTCGCCCGGCAAGCGAAAGATTGCGGGTTCGCTAACTTTGCTATTGCTAACTTTTTTGAAAGATAAAAACAAATGACACTTAAACCTAGTGGATAAGACTTCAATAGAGACACTGAAAACTGTCTAACTAGATAGGTGTCTAATTAGACTTTCTTTTAACACATTTGCGATGATGGAATGATCAAAATTGATAGTTTCCTTAAGTCTTATTCACTAGATTTAAGTGTCATTTGTTTTTATCTTTCAAAAAAGTTAGCAATTCCATTGGATAACATCGGCCGATTGCTGGAGGTGTTGCAAAAAGAAAAAAGCCCAAATTGCTTGAGCTGCGCACTCGAAAATTGTTCTCTAATATCTGCTTTTGTTCTTTATTTCTTTCTATCTTCAAATTTTGCATATTAAACACAATATCTCTGTTCAACATTTTCCTTCTCGATGTTTGGGGAAGAGGATCAATTCTAACATTGTTAGGTGGCGGGAATCTCATTGGCTGTCTTGTGACACTTGTGGAACGCTTTTCCGAATACTTTTTCGTTTTTCTTAAACCCTTCAGAACTTCAGATATCTAGAATTCTTGAAAAATTCTACACAATGATACAATTTGCGAAAGCGAAACGTCGTCAGCCCAACCCTACAAGTATCTTCGTCAGCCAACCCTACAAGTATCGTCGTCAGCCCAACCCTACAAGTATCTTCGTCAGCCCAACCCTACAAGTATCTTCGTCAGCTCAACCCTACAAGTATCGTCGTCAGCCCAACCCTACAAGTATCGTCGTCAGCTCAACCCTACAAGTATCTTCGTCAGCTCAACCCTACAAGTATCTTCGTCAGCTCAACCCTACAAGTATCGTCGTCAGCTCAACCCTACAAGTATCGTCGTCAGCTCAACCCTACAAGTATCGTCGTCAGCTCAACCCTACAAGTATCTTCGTCAGCCCAACCCTACAAGTATCTTCGTCAGCTCAACCCTACAAGTATCGTCGTCAGCTCAACCCTACAAGTATCGTCGTCAGCTCAACCCTACAAGTATCTTCGTCAGCTCAACCCTACAAGTATCTTCGTCAGCTCAACCCTACAAGTATCTTCGTCAGCTCAACCCTACAAGTATCGTCGTCAGCTCAACCCTACAAGTATCCTAAAGCTCACCAATCCCACAAGCAATAGTAAAAACAATCGTTAATCCGAAACAGTGATCAATCAACCAAATGATTCACAGAACAACCACCAAACGTCTTTTATATGGCCCGACTTTTCTAGAGAAGAGATCCCGGGGGTCCTAAGTGGCCCCCTATTGGGGTGGATTCAACTATAAAGCGATGGCCTCTAATGCTAGTCTCATTGGATCCATCGGCTTCTTTTCTCTTTTCTCTTCACAACTCTTCCCCCTTCCCTTCAATCCCCGCATTTAGCTCCTCCCTTTTTACTTTTTACTCTAAAGTACCCTTGGATGTCCTCTCCATTCCCGTTTTCCTCTTCCACCCTCAACTCTTCAACTTTTCCATTCATCAATTCGAGTGTTGTTTTTTAGATTTCATAAAGTTTCTTTAGTAGACCGCTTCTTTTTTGTAGCTTCTTTTTTTTATAGTTTTCATTCAACTGTCTAAACCCCAAATAAATCAAATAAGGAAATATTGGTCATCTCTTGAGCTGTTCCAGGTTCCTCTCATCCTCTCTTTTCCCCCCATTTTTTTCTGTTCTTCGGTTGACTTTTAAGCCTAAGCCTTGTGAGAGAAGAAAGCATAAAAGAGGACATAAAAGAAAAGAAAATATCGAAGAAACTCGAAGGAGTAGAAGAAGACTACTCCAATAAATTCCCCTTCCATCCGTTTCCTTTACTTCTTCGTTTTTTTTCTCTCTTTTCTATTCCCCGCGCACTAGTGATTTTTATGTGATTGCTTTTCCCATCGCGCTTATATGTTTGGTGGTTTCCTGGAGAAATGGGATTATTCCTTTTTTACAATTACTGCATCGCCTTGCCATTTCTTTAGATAAGTTTGATCTGCTGGTTTGAAAGGACTTAGACTTAGAGAATTAGTTATTGGAGAAGCTAAATTACTACTACTTGCCTAGTTTACTTACTACTTGCCTAGTTTCATTTTGACACTGGTAAAGCTGCTCAAAGCTGCCTAAATTTATGACTAATCTTTGCCAGGATTAAATTGTTTAAAAGATTAAGCTTGACTTTCGCTAATGCGTCAGTAAAGTTTGTTGAAAATATTGGTTTTGGCTTGTGCTTGGCTTTCTGGTAGGGTTCTAGCTTGGCAGAGGTCCAATTCTTGCAAATATTGGCTTTGTTTTGATCTGACTGATTTGACTAGGCCCAACTCAAGGAACCAAATTTCCTAGATCACTAGAAAATAATATTAAGCAATATGTCAAAGATCTTCAAAGGGGGAGTGCGTGGAATGGGAATGGTTGATGGACGGGAGAAGAAGAGGAGAAGAAGAAGAAGGATTCTTTGAGGGGTCAACGGATAGGGAATCGGATCTCCCGAGGGGATTCCCTATGGAAGAGCTTCTCCTCTTTTCCTTGAATCTCTTGCACTTCGATTTCCCCTACCACACTCACAATTCTCGAGTTCTATCGTTAGAATTGGTTGAGAAAAAAGGTTTTTCTTCATATGGTTCATATCAGTTCTTTTTCGATCAGTTAAAGCTTTATCTTTTGAATTTTCAAAAGAAGAAAAGCCTTTTCCTTTCGTTTTTTAGGTCTAAGGGTTTCTTCTAATGATCTAATGATGATAATGATGTCTTGAAGTGGTTTAAAACTTGTTCATACTAGTCCATGTCCATGTCCATAAAGTCCAAACTTGTCCATGTCCATAAGACTGTCCAACTAGACTTCTATTCTAGATTCTGGGTCGTTATTTAGAGCTAATTCTTGCTAATCTTGCAGGTTTCTTAATTAAACAATTAGACAATTAAGAAACTTGCAAGATTAGCAAGGATTAGCTCTAAATAACGGCCCAGAATCTAGAATAGAAGTCTAGAGTATGGACAAGTTTTAAACCACTTCAAGACATCATTATCATCATTAGATCATTGTTGAGTCTAATTTGATTTTCATTTTTGAGTTACTATTTGAACTCTAGAATTCTCATTCTCGTCTTTCAAATCGATCATTTCGTCAAGTTGTTTTTTTGCTTGTAACCCAAGTGATTAGTCTTTCAGGGAGGGGAAAAGTTTCACCGATTCCCCAATCACTAAACCATGTCACATTTTTGGATCTTTCTAAAGAGAATCGTTGAGTTGAGGTGTGACAGTTGTTTATTGCGGCCAATGTGGTGTTGATTGGGAAGACATTTGACCTACACTTTGTTATTTAAAATATTATTTCAAGTTTACTAGTTCAGCTGGGAGTTCAGCTGGGATTTCAGCTGAATCTCTGCTCTCAAAATCTCAAAATCTCAAATCTTCTCCTGGTTTTTCTCAAATCTCCTCCTCCTGGTTCGAATCGATTGGTTTAACTTTTGATCTTTTGATCGTTCTTTTGTTTATCGCTCATATTTTTTTGAATCTTTTCATTCCGTCCGGTGATACGCTCCGTTTCAGATCTCAAAATCGATATTGGACTGAAAAAGTCAATCAATCACTTCGTTCAATCAATCTCTTCTTTGTATTTCAATTTCCTTAACCAATTTCCCACCCAAATGCTCTATTCAAACGAGGTTGGCTGAGTGAGAAGATCTCCTTTTCTTTATCACCTCTCCATTTCCCATATTTCTTCTTCAATTTCTGTATGTTTGGTGGATGGTCTCCCATCAAGGCGGGGACACAAATGAGCAGCATTGATTCACCTCGACGACAACCTCTCAATGCCAACTTTCTGGCACTATGCCAAGTATATCGTGGGTGAACATGGAAAGGATTTACATTGACAAATCACTTTACATCTGAATATCTTACAGGATTTAAAAGATCCTTGCCATAGAACTGGCTTTACTACAGAGCTACAGTACTGGACAATGAAATATCATATGTGAAAAACGATCGTCACTTTCGCGCGTCTGTAACTCCCTTGTCTTTGAGTTTAAACTATTAGTGTTATACATTTTCTGAAAGCTCTTTTCAAGGGCTACACAATGGTAATATTAATATTTAGAAATACGGTAAAGACAAGGGAGTTACAGACGCGCGAAAGTGACAATCTTTTTTCAAATATGCTATTTCATTGTCCAGTAGTGTAGTTGACCAAATTAAAGAAGCATACTCGAGGATCGGGCGAACGTAGATAATATGCCATAGAACTGGCTTTACTACAGAGCTAGCTTCTGGTCACCTAGATATAAAGTAAAGAAATGAATGGTAAAGAATTTTGAATGAGGAATTGAACCGTCGACCTTCAGCTTACCAGGCAGATGCTCTATCACTAAGCTATTGGCTTCTTCTTTTCCCAAGAAGAAATAGGAAAGATAAGGAAGAAAATGCTAAACATTGGTGAGCCATTTTAAACCTAAAATTTTCTACAGAATTGATCCAAAAGGCGTTTTCTGTCAAGTCAAGGAGCTAGATCGTTGCTTAATTTTGAAGCTAGTTTCGCCTAGCTTCTAATCTATCCTAACAATACAAAATGGTAAGTTGTCTAAACAAGTAATCGTGGACACATTTCTCTTCACCAAACGTTGATCTTTAGCACCAGAAATTGAGCTAAAATCATGCAAAAATGACATACGATACTGAATATCTTTTACATTTCTCTTTTGTTTTCCAGAATATTCCATATCGGAGCAAACTCGTCGAGAAAATCGAGCCCGGACAAACGCTGATCATTCGGGGAAAAACGAATGAGGACGCGAAACGGTTTGTTCAATGAAATCTTTTTCAATGAACGGTTCGTTCAATGAAATCTTTTAGATTTTTGACACAAATCATTTTTCTCAAAATGTTTATCTCCAGAAAGTTGTCCCAATTTTTGACATTGAACATTTCTCGAAAGATTTCGGAGAGTTGCAAAAAAAACTGACTATTTTTGAGGGATATTTTTGAAATAGCAAAAGAGTGGAGGGATTTCCCTCGGGATTTCCACCACCCTCACTCTGAAACGATTTGAACATGAATCACTAGGAGATTTTTGCTAGGTTTTTTGAAAGTAGGAAGGTTTTTAAGAAAAGAATGGGATCACTGGATCATTTGTTCGATTAAATTACTAATTTTACAAGAGTTACCAACTTATTCTTACCAGGCAAGAACAGATTTAAAAAAAACCAAACAGGGCCAACCGAGATGAGAAATCACGGTTCAATGAAACCGTGACAAATCAAGGTTCAGGTCCAACTCAAACCTCGAACCCGAGCAAAAAATGGGTAGCTCGTTTTGTATACAAGCCCCTTATCCACTAGGCCACTGGCTCATACTGATGACGCGCGAGAAAAGCCGACAAAAATCAACTAAGACCGACCAAGATCATAAATCCCATCAAATCAATCAAACCGGACTAGGTACAGGTCCAGCTCGAACCTCGAACCCGAGCAAAAAATCGATAGCTTGCTTTGCACAAGCACCTTATCCACTAGGCCACCAGCTCACGTTGACGACGCGCGAGAAAAGCCTTTTAATGCGAGATGTTGAAAACTTTTATGCCAAAAATTTTCTTGTCAGAGCCGAGCCAAATCCAGTCAAATCCAGGGCCTTAATTAGATCAAATTAATAGTGAGGCTAAAATACCGTAATCTCACTTCGAATTCCTTACTTTTCCTTGATTCGTGCCATTTCCAGCTTCAACATCAACCTTCACAAGGACAGCCCGGATTTCTCGGGCAACGACGTCCCACTTCATATCTCCGTTCGCTTCGATGAGGGAAAGGTGGGCTTAGATTTGATTTAGCTAGTCATTTGGACGTACTTTGTGCTTGAAAATCGAGATACCTTTCCGCCGTACTCGAATCGGCAGTTGTAAGCACAAAGTACACTCGAAAATTCCTCGTTACACATGAAAATGTTTAGCCCAAGAAACCGATATCCACAGTGAGTTGTATTTTTTCGTTTTTTTAAAACTACTAGATCTCACTAAACCTATTGTCGCTTGAAACTAACTCTCTTAAACGAAATTTCTCAATTTATGATATGAAATACGAATTTGAACACTTTTTTTTTTGAAACGCTTTACTAATAAAGTTCGAGGTTTAATGTATATAAAAAGTGTTTTGCATTTGAAAATAATGCTAGATTGGAAAAAAAAAAAAGAAATTTAGCTCGTTTTCAACACGTACTCGAAGGGAGCTTGGGGAAAAGAAGAACGACAGAAAAATCCCGTCAAAAAGGTTGGTCATGCAAAAAGATCTCTATTGTAAAAGATATTCAATCAAGGAAATCTGTATTAATTGGATGTATTATGATATAGAAAAAGCTTAAGCGTTAAGGATCTTCGAAAATGTGGTCAAAACCTCCTGCCATAGCATTCGAAAAACCTTTAAATTCGTCTAGCTACTTTATGATTATGCTTCTAATCTATTTTCACGCTTAAACTATGATCTAATTCTATTAGTCATTTTCATTGCGATGAAATAAATATGAATGAAGAGCTATGGCTATGGCTTGGCCTGGCTTGGCTTGGCCTGGCTTGGCTTGGCCTGGCTTGGCTTGGCCTGGCTTGGCTTGGCCTGGCTTGGCTTGGCCTGGCTTACATACCACAATTTCCTGTAAAATCTAAGAATTCTAGAAACTTATGCTCAGTTAGTACTCTGATCAAGTCTCTGATCTTCAAAAGTTCCAGGGAGAGCCATTCGACATCCGCATCCGTGCTCACGACAATAAGTTCACTGTCTACGTTGATCGAGTAGGTTTATCGTTTTTAAATTTAGTAGGCTTATAATTTGACATTTGACAAACAAACAAAATCCTTTGCAGGTTCAAGTGAAAGAGTTCGAGCATCGAATCCCACTTCAACACGTCTCGCATCTCTCAATCGATGGTGACGTCACTCTCAATCATGTGCAATGGGGAGGAAAATATTATGTGAGTTGAGAAAAGAAAAAAAGATTCACTTGTTAGGAAGACATTGGGTATTATCTATCTATTAAGCTTTGATCGATGAACTGTATTTGGGTGTAGAAGCAAGTAAAGGAGAAGTGAAGGAGATAGGCCAAAGTTTAAGCATTTATAGTTAATTTTAAGATATCAAATAATAAAGTTAGTTCAAATCATATCATCTATTTTATTCAAACAGTAGTATTGTATAATCCTACGCGTTTTTTTCAGCCAGTTCCCTATGAAAGCGGAATCGCCGGTGAGGGTCTTGTGCCCGGGAAAACCCTCGTCATCTATGGAACACCCGAGAAAAAGGCTAAACGGTTTTTTTTAGAAAAAATATTTCTTTATCTAAAGCTGTAAGGAAAATAGCTGTAAGGAGAATAGCTGTAAGGATAATAGCTGTAAGTACAATGGCTGTAAGTACAATGGCTGTAAGGACAATAACTGTAAGGATAATAGCTGTAAGGATAATAGCTGTAAGGACAATAACTGTAAGGACAATAGCTGTAAGTACAATAGCTGTAAGTACAATAGCTGTAAGAACAATGTAAGAACAGCTCACTACAAACGCTTCATTATCTAAAGCTGCAAGAACAGCTCAATACAAACGCTTTAAGATTTATCGCACTGATAGGGGTAATTGCTGAGAGCCATTCAGCACTAACTGAGCACTAACAAGCACTTCGTTTTTCTTCGTTTTTCTCGTTACTGCAAGAAAAATGAAGAATTCCGTGGAATAGAAGGAGTGCTTCTACAAGAAAAGAAAGAAGGAATGCTTCTACCTTCCGCAAGAACATCCAAAGAACATTCCGCAAGAACAAAAGTTGCCCCAATTCCTCAAAAGCCAACAATTTCAGCTTCAACATCAACTTGATAAAAAAAAATGGTGACATTGCTCTTCATTTCAATCCACGTTTCGATGAAAAGGTTTGAAAAATTTGAAAACGTTTTTTTTGAAACTTTTCTCATTTTCATTTTTTCTAGAAAGGACCCGGTTTAATTTGCGGAAAAGTCGTGCCCGGAGTAGGTTATATTGAATGAAATTTCACTAACTGTAGTCATTTGTGAACAGCTCTAACAAAGAATTTCTCTCTGCACTCACAAAGATTTTTGTTTTCTTTCTTTCGTTTTTTTATGTTTATTTCTAGAAGAATAAAAGAAATGGTGTAACAAAATGGATTGAGGGAGGCAAGGGAAATGTTTGTTCAACTCCTCTTTTTTAATTAAAGTGCTTTCCTAGAGATTTATTTTAAAACGTGCCAGTATCGTAATCTTATCTCTTTTGATACTTTAGTAGACAGATTTTATAAAAACTAGAGTCAAGTTTACGGTAGTTTTTGTCACGTTTTAGAAAAGCGGATTAGCCGATGGGAAAGCACTTTTCATAGGAGTAGCTTTTGGATTTATGAAGAGATTTGGGTGGAAGTCGATTGGCTTCATCTATTGGGTTGATGAATTGAAACTTTGAACTGCGGGACTTTGAACTTCGGGACTTTGAACTGCCGAACTTTGAACTAAAATTTATTCAACGTAAAACCCATCAATTCATTCCAAATAATTCCCATTATTATTGACGACTTCTGCCCATTTTACAGGCAATTTGCGGATTCCTCTTTCGTAGTAGGATTTTGGTTTGTGTGTGAGACAAGTGTGAGACTCAAAAATGGAGGAGATGTCCCAGTTTGAGCACTTTCTTCAAAAGAAACCCATTTTGGTGTCGCTAGAAGAGTTGTAGAGAATCAAAAACTAGGCTTATAGCCAAATTTCCAAAAAGATACACTTAGTAGTTTCGTTTAAAATGCAAGTTTTGTGAAAATTCGTAAATTTCGCATTTCATGAAAACCAGCTTTTGAATCGTTCTGAAAATTTGGATATAAGCTTGATTTTTGATTCTCTACAACTTTTCCATTGACACCAAAATGGGTTTCTTTTGAAGAAAGTGCTCAAAATGTGACATATGACAATAGCCCGCAGTTTTCAATTCACCAACCAGTAGCTTCATCAACAATTATCTAGCATAGATTTCTCTAATCAAAAATCGAGCACGATAAGGCAGGAGGCAGCTGACAGCTTTGACGATAGCCGGCAGTTTTCAATTCACCAACCCAATATTAGGATTGACAAAAAGGCAAATTTTGCAGAGATTTGAACAGGAAAATATCAAATTTATAAAGATAATTTCTAAGTAAAATTTAAAGATGAGAAATCGCTTGAAGATTCCATCAATCTTTTCGAAACTTTAGCCTTTGTTTTTGGATATAAAAATGTATAGTAATAAAAGAAAAAAGAACACCTAAACCTTTCCAATGATCCAATGAGTACTTCGAGTTTTCTTTTATAGCCAAATCCATAGATTGTGAAAACCAATCCTTTTAGGTCTTAGGCCCAGGCCAGAGCCTTGGGAAAAGCTGGACTAGCCCAATAGCCTTGAGGACTAGCCCTGCTCAGTCCACTAATCCCAATCAAACAACTAATGCATGCTTTTCTTTTGTTTCTCATCACTGAATAAACCCCAGGATTGTTCAGTTTGTGTTGTTTGAATGATCCGTAAAACTTTTCCACTTTTCCACTTTTCCATCACCGATTCACTTTATCCATTTGCAGGGTGTCGTTCGCAATTCGCTCATTTCGGGAGATTGGGGAAATGAGGAGAGAGAAGGCAAGAATCCTTTTGAGAGAGGACACGGTTTCGATCTCGAGATTCGCAACGAGGAATTCGCTTTTCAGGTGAGCTTGATCTAATACTTGAAAATCTCATCTTTCAAGCTTAAACATGTGTTTCTGTTTTCAGATTTTCATCAACGGTGAACGCTTCTGCTCGTACGCTCATCGTGTTGAGCCGAAAGACATCGGAGGATTGCAAATCCAGGTTGGGAAAAGAGGATTTACCCCCAAAAAAAAGACTTTAAAGCATTTTAGCAGTAAATTACCATCCCGTCTATAGGTTGATTTAAAGATTATTGGGGGTACGCTAATTTCTGTCATTTTATTTGCGCAACTCGCCATAACTTTCTTCTAAATGGGTCAATCTTTATGATTTTGATGTCATTTTGTAGAAATCAATAAGTGCAACAAAATGACACCAAAAATCATAAAGATTGGCCCACTTAGAACAAAATTATGGCGAGTTGCGCAAATATAATGCCAGAAATTAGCCTACCCCTAATAATCTTTAAGTCAACCTATAGTTGATAACTTATCCGTGAGTTGATAACTTTAAAAAAATGAAAGATTTCGTCTAAAGAGAGCTTTTCTAATAGAGAAAACTCTTCAATTGAAATAAATAAATAAATACGATGCATCAATTTATCGAAATAAAAAATCCACTATTAAACTCATCAATTTTTGAGTCAACTACAGGCAAAGAATACGGTTAAGACAAGACAAAAGACAGACAAGAGGCAAGACAAAAGTACGGTAGAAAAGAGACAAGACAAAAGACAGACAAGAGACAAGACAAAAGTACGGTAAACAAGAAAGTAAAAGAAAAATACAAAGCACAAAACTTTGACTTTTAAAAACTTGTACACTCTGTATACTGTTTGGAGTGAAAGCTAGGCTAGGCTAAGCTAAGCTAAGCTTAAGAAACGTTTTACCTCAGCTATTCTTGAATATATTGAATACTTTTAAACTTCAGTTTACTTCAGTAAAAGCTCTAAAATCTTTAGGGAGACATCGATGTGACCGGCATCCAAATGGTCAACCAGCAGGATTAAAAAATAAAAACAAAAAAACAAATCTCCCTAGTTAAACAAAAAAAACCCGTTCCCAATCATTTTCCTTGTCACAACTTTCCTTTTTTTTCTTTGCTTCAATTTAAATCCCTCGATTTCCTTTTTCACCTTACCCAAATCCCAGGGAATTTCATTTTCGCTAGTTTTTCTTTCGAATTATTACCGTATTTCTTTCGAATAGAAGACCGGGTAAAGAGTATGATCGCGTACTCCTGCGTAGCAGCCCTTTTTAAAATTTCTTTTCTGCATAAAACCTTTCAATCAAGTGCTATAGAGCTGGAAAATGGCTCAAAAATGGCTCAAAAATCTGTTAGCTCTTGTGGTATTTTTGAGCCATTTCCCAGCCCTATAGCACTTCATTGAAAGCTTTCATGCAGAAAATAAATTTTAGAAAGAAAAAAAAATCGGCAGCACCGGGGTTCGAACCCGGATCTTCTGCATTGTAGACCAAAGCCCTCCCGACTGCACCACAGCGTCCCTTCAAGACCGCCGATAGAAATCGATATTCTCAGCGGCTAGACAAGATTTTCGAGGAATCGGAAAATGACTCAAAAATACCACATGAGCTAACAGATTTTTGAGCCATTTTCCAGCTCTATAGCATTTCATTGAAAGCTTTTATGCAGAAAAGAAATTTTAAAAAGGGCTGCTACGCAGGAGTACACAATGATACTCTTTACCCGGTCTTCTATTCGAAGAAATACGGTATTTTGATATTTCAAATTTCACTCTTTTCCCTCCCGATCACTGCCCCCGTATGAATTAAAGAATTTCTTTTTTTTTGTGATCTTTTCCTTTTCCTTTTTCTTCAATTTACATTTTATTGTGATCTTTTCTAGTTCAGAAAAAAGAATTCCCGAGAATCTTGTCAACAAAATTTATAAGTTTACCAAAAACCGTTTTTCTTTTTTTTGCGTGATAGCCTTTTTTTGCGCATTTTTATGAAATTTCTTTTCTTTATCCGCATAAAATCTAAAATATAAAGCTATGGCCTCAAAAAGAAATAAATAATAAATCCTTTTTTAATCCCGAATTCAATTTTTTATCACAAAACAAAGAATAATTAAAATTAGAAATAGAAGAAAATTTTGAGATTTTAAGATGAACGAAGAATTTTCGATTGATTGAGCTTCGCTTTCTGAAAAGTTTAAAGGCATTCAGATGAATATTGTTTAGTTTTGCTAGCTGAATATCTTTAATTTGCATACAAGAGAAATTTCGATTCAGATTTGTGCTGTGCAAGTGCAAGTGTGCACAATCGTAATGTAGTCAGTCTATAGGGTGGCCCATAATTATCGTGACAAGGTATTTCAAAGTAATAAGTGCTTTGTGTAGATTAATATTGGATAAATTTTAGTTATTTTAAAACTAGAGATTCTTAGCTACAAAATGATGTCTCAATGATGAAAATTGGCCCAGTATTCGTTCCGATCTGACAAGGGAATGCCAACCGGGTGTGGTGGCCAAATGACATTCGGCATGGTTCTCTGGCCGGCAGCGAGAGAATCAGTTTTGAATTATAAAGGAATCAGTTTTGAATCCTGATTTTGCATGCCAGATTCCTTGCGTTTCCTTGGCTATTAGCGGCTAATTTTTGTGGCGTTTTGTTCGTTTTGGGCGTTTTGAATTTTGAAATCTACCCTGTAGAATTTTGCGCTGAATCTGAATCTGCTTTCCGTTTTTGCTAAATAGCACCCTGTCAAAAGTTTTAAGCGTGCAAAGGTTTGTACGGAGTTTTAAAAATTATCTCTGGAGTTTATAGGCTTTATAGGTTTATAGGATTTCCCAGAGCATCTAGCGAGCAGTGGTGGCCGAGTGGTAGTCGGCTAGAATACAAGGTAAACCCTCTAGGGTTCGGGTTCACAGTTTAATTTTTTTTTGCTCTTTTAGAGGTGATTGAACTCCATTTTAAATAAAAGTCTTTTTCAAACAACTTCCCATACAAATGTTTACTTAACTATTGACGTTGGTGCTTTAGTGAGAGGAGGAGGGGATTTTTTTTCTTTAAAACCACTTTTTCTGGGGTAGTTTTATGCGTAGATTCCGAAAAACACAACGAAAGCTTGGGAAAAGGCGTTTTAAGCCGAGTTTCGGGGCTTCAAAGTGCGCTCGGAAATCTGCCTCGAGAGATAATTTTTAAAATTCCATACCAAACTTTGCACGCTTATAACTTGCGACAAAGCGCTATTTAGCAAAAATGGAAAGCAGATCTGGAATCAGCGCAAAATTCTACGTCAGCCAGTATATGGCTCGTGTCATTTGGCCACCACACTCGGTTGGGATTTCCTTGTGAGTGAAACTTGCCACTCGAAGAGTCGAGTCGCGGGTCGTTTACCGAATTTTCTATTAAAGGATTTAAGGACACGAAACATCCATTCTCTAAAAAGTGTCAACTGAAGTCTGTCAACTGAAGGCTGTCAACTGAAGTCTGTCAACTGAAGGCTGTCAACTGAAGGCTGTCAACTGAAGTCTGTCAACTGAAGGCTGTCAACTGAAGGCTCGATATGTCTCGAGTTTTCAATCTCTCTACTTTATATCCTTCAATACCTATTGTGAATCCTGTTAAAAGAAAAATAGTGCAAGTGTACGGCAAGCAAAGAAAAATAGAATGCAAAAACAACACCCGTGCAATGACAAATTTCAAAGCTCAACCCTTTTCATTCTTTTCATTGTCTCACTTTCAATCTGATCAATCAAAACGACTCCATTTCTTGTTCCCCATTTCTCGATTTCTTTCAATCTTCCCTCGATTTTCTCCAAATCTTGACAAGCTTTCTCGTTGCTTTTTTGAGAATAGTTCCTCACCGCCGACACGAATGACTCTAAATTGTTGTTTAAGTTAGAATCTCTACAAGTACTCTTATGTTATGTAAACGCACCCTCTCTATCGCACTTGATTCCTTCTTTCTCTTACAGTAATCACGTGAACTTTATGCTTAAAATGAGGAAACTCTCTAGCCGCATCAGTAGCCATGCGTTTCCATTTGTAAAGCGGAAAATTTGTCTAACAAGGGAATGGTCTCAGCTCAAAGTTCGGAATCGACTGGAAACACAATGTATAGAATCGGCAATGGCGGACAAAACGCCACCAAAAATTAACCGCTAATAGCCAAGGAAACGCAAGGCATCTGGCGTGCAAAATCAGCGTGAAATTCTACGTCGATAAATCAATGGCTCATGTCATTTGGCCAGCCTATCCAGGCACTTCCCTTGTAAGCTTGGATCGAGATCCTTTCTCCTAAAACCCCAGGGTCTAGCTTTTCAGCTTAATCTGTCGATAAACCAACATCAAGTGGGATTCTGGTTTCATTTTCGACGTACAATAAACTAAAAGCTAAGAAAATAAAGAATCAAGTACACCAGACAGGGTGCATTTACAGTTTTTCCCCAAAAAAAACCCCCACCAAATTCACAGCTTTCCCCTTGAAAACCGGGCAAATTCGGCGTCAAATCGACGAGGAAATCGGTGTGATCTCGTCGGAAAAATGCCTATAAAATAATATAATATAGATATTATCTTAAAGTTTCAACCGACTTTTAAAAAGTAATCCTTTCCATTTGCATAAAGCTCAACGAATATCCCACTCGTGTACAATGGAGCATCATCGCCAACAGCCGCCTTTGTCGATCGTAAAATCTCGAGAAACGGGAAAATTTGGAGATCTTGCTGGAAATCTTTAGTTATAATTGAATATTTTTAGATTATATTTTATTCTTTAGAGATACAAAAACATTGCTCAAAGAACTCACCGATGAATAGCCGTTGAAAACGATCGAATCACACGTTTTTTCCCTGTCGACATGCGATTTTTGAGCGCATTTTTGTGATAATGTCTAAATTGATTGATTGATTAAAACCAATTGATTAAAACTCTAATATATACAGGGTGCGTCATAATTATTGCAACAAGAGTTCAAAGACGTTCAAAGTTTTAAAGAAGAATGTGATGTCATGGGCGTGCAAAGCCAATAACAATCAAAATGGTACCTTCATGCAAGATGGAGCTCCCGCTCACACGAAGAAGACGGTTCAGGACTGGTGTGTGACCAACTTTCCCTCAGTGATCACCAAGGATGAATGGCCTCCAAACTCACCGGATCTCAATGTGATGGACTTTTCCATTTGGGCAATCTTAGAGGCTAATGTCTGCTCTTTGACCTTGAAGAACTCTTTGACCAAAGGATGGAAGGCGACTCCTCAAGATGACATTCGGGCCGCAGTGGAGGCATATCCGAACCGATTAAGGGCTGTTATCAAGGCAAAAGGCGGTCATATCGAATGATCTCTTGTTTCCTTATTTGTTACTGTTAAATAAAGCTATTTCTGTTTAAAAATCTTCTTCCAGTGAAACTTCTTGGTGTGCAATGCCTTGAGTATCTTGTTGCAATAATTATGACGCACCCTGTACGTCGTAGCCGATTATGAATGAGTGGGTCTAGGAGCGTCCAACCATTAAGTATTTGGTATCATTCAACGCAGAATCATTCATAATTATGCTAAATTTTTTAAATTAGAAAGATTGGATAAAAAGAAAAAAATTATGGGGCTTCAAAGTTTTTTGCTTTAATTTTTTTTTCTTTTGATCTAATCTTTTTAATTTAAAAAATTTAACATAATTATGAATGATTCTGCGTTGAATGATACCAAATACTTGATGGTTGGACGCTCCTAGACCCACTCATTCATAATCGGCTGAAATTCATAATCGGCTACGGGGGTCCCGCCGATTTTGAATGAAACGTCGCACAACGAGTACAAAATTTTTTGTCTTCAAATCAAAAATCTAAGCACTAACAATTCTTAAATGATGTCCAACTAAGAGAAAAAATGCAAAAAGAATCGATTTCGACTTGTCAATTCTTTGCTGATAGGTCGAGAAATTTGCTGGCCACGGAGTTTACCAACTTTGATACGCCATATCTACAGATGTACTCGACAGAACCCATAAGTGTTATATATTCTGAAAGCTCAGGTTTAGCTCTACAAGATGGTATCAGTTTTTCTATGTTTTCTATTTTATTCAGGGTTTTTGCCCTTCTGAACACCAAAGTTGAAACCTAGAAATTTTCAAAGTCACTTTTGCATCGCGATATCGTCGTCAAATCGTGCTGAAAGTGTGTTTTTTGGAATCTACGCAAAAAATTGGCCCAGGAGAGTAGAATTTGAACAATCGCAACTGGGATATCTTAGGAGAGTTGATTAGGTCAAAAGACAAAATTTCTCGACCTATCAACAAAAAATTGACAAGTCGAAATCGATTCTTTTTGCATTTTTTTCTCTTAGTTGGACATCATTTAAGAATTGTTAGTGCTTAGATTTTTGATTTCAAGACAAATGGTTTTTTTCCAACTACGTACTCGTTGTGCGTCGTAGCGCCGGCAATTTTTAACCTAAACTCACAGATTTGGTACCAATCGACGCAGAATTGAACTCGCTACAGGATCATATAATATTGCCCTCATACATTAAAGGGTTGCTCTACTATTGGGTTGGTGGAAAAGTCCTTTCGGATTTTTTGGGAGAGTACCTTAAATTTGTCGAATTTTGACGTTTTATAGCTCATCCTAAAGCTGAATTCAAGACGGATCGTTTGGTAAAAACCGTTTTGAGATATCTCTTTTCTAAAAGTTTTTACAGCTATTTTAGTAAAGGGCGGCAGAGCCAAAAAAAAAATGGCTGTTTTCACGTTTCGTTGGTTTTGGACACGTCAAAATTGGACAAATTTAAGGTACTCTCCCAAAAAAACCGAAAGGACTTTTCCACCAACCCAATAGAAAGATTTGCCAAAAAAATTTTCATTCATAATCGTCTACGACATATACAAAAATTCTTCAACTATTTGTGAACTCAATTTGAAAATCAATCCGTCCGACTAAAAAACTTTCTCCGACTTTCTCAAAAAAATATCATTGAATTCAGAAAATTCAAGTATTATTTTACGTTGGGAAACTCGTTTTCATAACAAAATTTAAATTAAAACCAATTTTTAAAAAAATTCTGATCTCTTCGGGAGATCTTTGATCGCAAATACCTCTGAGGAAAATGCGAAAAAACTTTTGCACATGACTGTAAAAATAGTTGAATTTTCTGAATCCAATATTATTTTTAATAAATATTAATTGAATCACTAGTTCAAGGCATTCAAAAGAAAGTTCAAGAACTTATGATTATGATTTTTACCATTTAAAAGCTCTCCAGAATATACTCGGAGAATATCCGGCTCGTGATAGAGGTCAATACCGAGAGTGATTCGTTGTACTTTTCTGAAATATGTGTTCTATGAGATCTATGCCGTAATTTCTAGATCTGTTATAAAATAAAATTCCACCTGTACATAGACCGGGCCTCCTCCACATGTGCATCGGTGATATTTGTGCCGATGAAGAGGTAGTTATTCAGCGCCTGAAGCGATTTACGATTTTCGTTTTGGGTTTTCCCGAGCTTCAGGACACTGGTGTGCGGAAATGTTCTTCTTTCTGTTTCTTTTCTGTTTCTGTTTCTTTCTGTTTCTGTTTCTGTTTCTGTTCTTTTTTTCTTGTCACTTTCAGACAGCCAACATTCACCGCTTTTAGATTTGAATTTCTTTATTTTATGTCTATGATGTCTTTTTCTCGCAGCTAGCAAAGATTTTCGGAGAGATAAGCAGTTTATAACGATTTACTTTCTTTATAACTTTATAACGGTGCGCAAGTGGTTCAGTGCTGGCCTGCCAAGCGGACGAACTGGATTCGATTCCCAGTTCGATTTGGTTTAGTTTGGTTTTTTCTTGAACACCACGTTCATGGTGGACAGGCGTTTACTTGCCGAAATACAATTTATGGATGTATTATTGAAAACTTTAGCACAAGAATCAATTAGAACAAATCATTTGCTTTCTTTCAAACCTCGTTCAACACACTCTCCATAAGCCGAAAGCTCAGTTTGTCGGAGCCAAAATATTTCACTTGTTTATCCAATCCCAAACACCGCCATAAATCATATTCGTAACTATCGAAATTCTAGATTTTTCTTATAAAATTCATCAATAAGTTGAAAAACTTTTGCATAATCACTCGGAAATCTCACGTAGCCGGCACATTTTGCTTCTTGCAGTGCGTGCACCACCGGACAATCCATCAATGAGGGTTTTAACATGTAAAAAGTGATAGTTAAACAATTCTTTTTTAATAAAAATTATATAAATAAAGCTTTCTTAACACAAACCCAATCAATTGGGTAAACTTCGAGCTCAAAATTTTCATTCGGAAAGAGGGCGCTGAACGCCTCTTTGGCTGTGCGCTGCGTTCGCACATGACTCGTCGATCGGACGTGGATCTGAGAAATGAAAAATTTTTGAATATAGATTGCTTACCGTAAATACTGTAAAAGTACCCCACCCCCATAATGACGGTGCGGAGTGTTGCGTAGTCTAGCTTTGAACGAGTTTTTCTCGACACTGGTTTAAGCTAGAATGCTCGCTTGGGTATCAAAAAATCGCTGAGATTCAGGGCTATTTTTTGATACCAAAGACGCTATTTTTGATACCAAAGATAATGACGGTGCGGAGTGTTGCGTAGTCTAGCTTTGGACGCGCTTTTCTCGAGACTGGTTTATGCTAGAATCCTCGCTTAGGTATCAAAAAATAGCCCTGAATTTCAGCTATTTTTTGATACCAAAGACGCTATTTTTGTAAGTACGGGCACTTTGAAAAAAATGAAATACTAAAAAACTTTTGCGACTACGCGACTGTACGAGGGGGATGGGGTACTATTACAGTATTTACGGTAGTTTAAACGGATTACATAGCAATTAGTTATAGCATTCGTTTTAAATTTCAATTCTTCTTTCTTGTTTAACTCACTTGTTCGGGTGATGAGATGAAACCGTTCTCCACGTAGCGCTTTCGCCAAAATTCACCCATTTTATGCGCATGGCGGATCCCTTGCTGAATTTTTAAAAAAAATAAAGCTATAAATTCTAATTCTAATTCTTTTCCCTAATTGGTGTTTCATAAAAAAAAGCGTCCAAGAAAAGCTAGCTTTAAAGATTTCATTCCACAAAGCTTTCCTTTCGTTGAGCTTATCGACTCCCAAACACAGCTAGTCAAAATGGCAAAGAGTGATCGTTTAAAAAGTTTCTTTGGCTTCACATCTATTGTACATTAACAATTATAAAATCTCCTTTGGTGTCTACAGAAAAAAAAAAAAAGATAGAGCACATTCAATTATATAAGTTGCCAAATTTTCACGAAGATCCCTTCAATCGTTTTCTCTAAATCATAGTTTATAGTCTTTTGTTTTACCTTTTGTGCTTTGTTGAGCTGAAGCGCTTTTTGAGCTCACTTTAAATGCACTTTAAAGGTACTTTAAATGCACTTTAATTCTCTACAAAATGGCACTTTTAAATGCGATTTTGTAGAGAATTAGTGAACCTTGCTACTGATATCAAACGCGTATTATTTGAAGTTTCAAAAATCGTATCAAACTACTAGAAGTTTTAGATAATTTCTTTGATTTTTGGCGTTTTTTCATTCTCCCCAACCTAATACATTATGATTTAAGTGTGGGAGGGATTTGTATGACTAAAATTAAACACAACTAAACTTGAAAAGTCCCATTCTTATCCTCAAAAATACTAGCATTTCCCGGATTAAAAAAGTAAACTTTTAATATGCAAACTTATGTTAAAAATGCGATTTTCGTGATCAGCGCTCTCGATTACCCTAGAAAAAAATTGTACGAACTTTATTAGTACCAGAAAATGGAGCGTTTAATGATTAAAAATGTTACGAGACAAACATCAGTGAGATTTCCGAGTCCATTCTTGAATAGAGAATGTGCAGCAGCTTCAGGCGATGAGAAAAGGCGCACCGGTGCCCGATCACCGTGTCTCCAAATCTGAAATTAATAAAAAGTTTCATTGAAAAGATTAAGTTTATCTAATCTACATTACTAAAATAGCTTCTTTCTTTAAAAAAAAAACTTACACTAAACACGTGAATCAATTGGAAACTCGCGACAATACCGGGGAAATAGACAAAGAAGAGTACGAGAAATGCTCGGAAAGGCGTCATTTTCATCATTGCCTTAAATTTTCCAACATAGTTTCGTTTTTTTTGACTTCAAAACTATTGAAATATTCACCAAATGGCAGACATTTCGATGAATTTGTATTCGGAATCGAATTCGTCGTCTAAAAATCGTCTAAAAAAACTATATTTCTGAAAATAGAGTGCAAAATCTATTTTTTTAGAAAACTATCGTAATCAGCTGACAGTTTACATTTGATTAGCCCAATTTAGTTTGATTTTAGTCTCATTGATTGAGCCTTTTGATTTCTCATCGAATAATACCAAAATTTTGCTGATTTATTGGGTTGGTGAATTGAAAACTGCCGGCTATTGTCATATGTCACATTTTGAGCACTTTCTTCAAAAGAAACCCATTTTGGTGTCAATCGAGTTGTAGAGAATCAGAAATCAAGATTGCTTATATCCAAATTTTCAGAACGATTCAAAAACTGGTTTTCAAGAAATGCCAAATTTACGAATTTTCACAAAACTTGCATTTTAAGCGAAACTACTAAGTGTATCTTCTTGGAAATTTCGCTATAAGCCTAATTTTTGATTCTCTACAACTTTTCTAGTGACACCAAAATGGGTTTCTTTTGAAGAAAGTGCTCAAACTGGGACATCTCCCATTTTTGAGTCTCACACTTGTCTCACACACAAACCAAAATCCTACTACGAAAGAGGAATCCGCAAATGCCTGTAAAATGGGCAGAAGTCGTCAATAATAATGGAAATTCTTATAAATAGCCTTCTTTGGGAACTTTTGGCGCATTCCCCATACAGTCCGGACCTCGCCCCTTCTAATTACTATTTATTCCGGACCATGAGCTTGCGGGAGAACACTTCGGAAGAAGAAGCAGATTCGAAAGAAGCAGTCAAAAATTGGCTTTGAAAGTTTTTCGATTCAAAACCAAAATCCTACTACGAAAGGGGAATCCGCAAATGCCTGGCAGAAGTCGTCAATAATAATGGAAATTATTTCGAATAAATTTATGGTTTTATGTTGAATCAATTTTAGTTCAAAGTCCCGCAGTTTTCAATTCACGAACCGAATAGATGGAAACTGGCAGTTTGACGACGATAATCTTCTAAAATAAGTGCAACAAATAATTAAGAGAAGCACATTTATAATTGAATAGGATTTTAAAATATAAGAAAATTTTAGAACAATAAGTTTGCAGACTATGAAGAAAAAAGAATTGAACACACCCTTTGACGTAAAAATGCGCCCCCTTTCCCCAAAAAAAAATTACTCATAACATAAACAATCTGAAAAAAGAAAATTCTTAGCTCTGTTTTCGTTCCGCTTTGAAAATATTGAAATGAAACCGAAAAAATCAATGATGCCACTGTGTGATATCAGAAAAATGCAAAAAAAATGGTCGCGGTTGAGGGTCAAACTGATAGAGAAGAATGGGGAAAAGAGAAAACAAAAGATTTTCCATCATTTTCCAATGATTTCACAATAACGGATGATAAAATTGTTTAGAAAATGAGAAAAGAAATGGTGAATGAACGTGTTCGAGTAAGACTTTTCCCTAAAACATGTCAACTTTTCGAAACTATAGTAATCTTGCCAATGATCTTGTTAGTAATCTTGCCAGTATCTTGCCAGTAATCTAGCCAGTATCTTGCCAGTGATCTTGCCAGTATCTTGCCAGTAATCTTGCCAGTAATCTTGCCAGTAATCTTGCCAGTATCTTGCCAGTCCAAATTACAATCATCTTGAGAGCTTGACAAAGTCGATTGATTGGGAGTATTGTGTGAGTAATCCGAGTTCTAATTAGTACACGGTGCACCAGAATTGTCGAAATAAGATACATTTCTGATTTTAAGGCAGACAAGAGCAGACAGCAAAAAAGACAAATTTTTAACTGAATAACATTTATTGTACATTAATAATTATAAATGAACTATGAAATTCGAATCGGCCACTATTAGCATTTGAGCAGGCTCCCACGTGTTTCGGGAAGACGTCAACGGTGGCAACCAAATAGGCTGGAGCTCCAGCTCTTCCCACGCTTTCAACAGTGATTTTCTTCAAGCTTATGATGTTTTTGTGAGGTTTTGAATAAGCTTTGGCTTCTAGAACTGACCACACTCAAAAATCCGTTGGGTTGAGGGTCTGGAGAGCTAGGTGGTCACTCAAAAAAAGAAATGAACTCCGGGAAGTTGTTTTGACAGAACTCTTGGACTTTCTTGGATTTTTGGGCCGGTACGCCATCTTGCTGATAAGTCCAAATGCGTTTTTAAAATGTTTACGAGCAAGAGTTCATCCTTTTTTCAGGTTTAGGAGTTCAGGTTTATTGTACCATAAATGTACAATAAATGTTCAGGAGTTCAGATCGTTATTACGCGCGTGAAACCTTGTTACGACAATCATGGCGCACCCTGTAGACTCAATAGAATGAATAGCTCCAATCGATTCGCCGACCCCGAAAACCTCCGGGTACAAATTCACAGCTGAATATTTTTTTAAACCATCCACAATGTCAAAGAAAAATCCCTATGTAAATGACTGACGAGGCGTTCTTTGTGCGGCGTAATCACTCGCTTTCTGGCAAAGCGCTTCGGTATAAGGTGGTTCCCTTTTGGAAACCGTAAAGGGAAAGCAGCGGTGTGCGACTGAGCCGCTTTCATGCGTTTGGATTTCACTATGTCCAAAGCCCTTTGGGATCAATTTTTTTGCCCCAAACTTGTCTGCTTTTTCTACAAATTCCAGCCAAGGTCAGCCAGAGATTGCTTCTCGGATAATAAATGTCGGTTTTGACATGAAATTTTGCTAAAGAAATCCAGTCACCGCCTGATTGTGAGCTAGGATTTGGTTCCTTCTTTCTAAAGTTTTCATGCCGGAATACCTGTAATAGAACGGGTCGTTTTCTACAAACTTTGAGCACTCATTCTGCCTCATTCTCAGCCCTCATTTAACTAAAGTAAATCGGTCAAAAATTTCCCTTTTATTCCTGAACCGTTCTTTTTTCACAAGCATTTTTCAGTTCTTTCTTGTTTTTTCAGCTCAAATTCTAACTATAAAAGTAAAGGGTTCTTCTGAACTATGAAATTCGAATCGGCCACTATTAGCATTTGAGCAGGCTCGCACGTGTTTCGGGAAGACGTCAACGCTGGCGACCAAATAGGCTGGAGCTCCAGCTCTTCCCACGCTTTCAACAGTGATTTTTTTCTGTTGTTTTATTTATTTTAAAATTATTTTAACCTCCTTTGACAAAATACTAAATACTTTTCACTGTGAAAAGCTATCATATGCAAAACCCAAAGCCAATTCGATTCTCTTGGGACTTTTCTTGGGATAAAGGCTTAAAATAAACTCCGCCAATAGGTTCTACGACCCTGAAAATCCCGGGGCACCAATTTTTAATGTTAAATCTCATTTGGGAATCATTTACGAAACAAAAAATAAATCACCGTGCAAAGTGACGGGCAAGGTTTTCTTTGTGCGGCCTCGTAATCGCTCGCTTTCTGGCAAACTGCTTGATGCGTTGGTTTTTGAGAAATTACTGAGCAAACTTTTTCTACGAACTTTCTTACTAACCTAATAGAATCTGACTTTGGTGAAATTTTGGTGATCGAGTTCTGATAAAACGATTTTTTGGATTGTCAGATTGTGAAATTTAGTAAACAGTAATCTAGAAGCTAGAATAATCTAAATCTGGAAAGAATTGATGGCTTGGTTTTTTGAGAAGTCACTGTGCAAACTTTTTCTACGAACTTTCTTTCCAACCTAATATAATCACAATTTTCTCATTTTCATAACATTTTTGTACAGAAACACAAATAGATTCACCTAATAAAATCAAATAAAATCAAATCAAATAAATCAAATTTTATAGACATTTTTCTCCTTTTTCTAAATTGCAATTCTTCAATTTACGTTCCTTTTCTGATAAGCAAGCTTCTTCTCGAGAAGTTGAAGAGAAAGGTTTCAGATTCGTCACGAAATCATCTAAAAGATTTTGAAATTAATGTTTTAAAGCCATTTGAAATCTAGTGTCAAAAGCTAAAGACATTAACACACTACTGGACAATGAAATATGATATTTGAAAAACGATCGTCACTTTCGCGCGTCTGTAACTCCCTTGTCTTTGAGTTTAAACTATTAGTGTTATACATTTTCTGAAAGCTCTTTTCAAGGGCTGCACAATGGCAATATTAATATTTAGAAATACGGTAAAGACAAGGGAGTTACAGACGCGCGAAAGTGACGATCTTTTTTCAAATATCATATTTCATTGTCCAGTAGTGTAGCTCGATAGGAAATGACGTCTGAATGACGGAAATGACGAAATGCTATGCTTCTTGTTTCTTCATTTGGCAAATCCCCATAGACGCTCGATCGTCTACGTGTGAATGGCAGGGTCATCCGGATTCAGAAAGTTGTACTTGTGGTTGACTTGAGTGATTGACTCCAATTTTTTGGCGGAATGTATAACGCTTGTATAACGGAAATGATTGGGGTTTCATTTTTGCGGATATATAGCGGAAAAAAACCGAAGAAAGTTATGGCGAGTTTAGTGATTTTGGCAATTGCCCAGTAGTGTATATTTAAAAACTAACCAAAGTCACACTCGACTTGTCCTTTACACCCGCGAACATCTTTTGTGTAGTCCACCATTTTCGAGCGTTCGCCCGGACCATGACGATAGTAAAACTGAAATTATCTCGCGTTTTCGAAACTCTTAAACTATAGAAAATTTCACTTTTATCTATTTTCTGGTTACTTTAAATGGTTACTTTAAATGGTTACTTTAATATATCGATCCCCGCATGGCCTTTTCCACATCTCGATAATGATTGCTGAAGAGAAAAATGGAGATTGAATACCGAGGATTTTCTCTTTCAAATCGACCAACTCGAGCATTGCTGCCAGAATGAAATCTTGCTAAAATTTTGAAGTTGAAGCTTTTGATTTTAAGGAGTTCATTTATTCAATCGAACTTTCAAAATCGAACCGTTGAGTAGCCAGCAAATTTCTTCTGACATAACATTGTACTCGTCTCATTGCAATCTTTGTGGAAGTTGAAATCTCCAAGCATTGCTGAAAATAAAATTGATTTGTTTGTTAGAATTTAAACAAAGATTTAAACAAAGATTTAAATAAAGATTTAAATAAAGATTTTCATAAATTTTCCTAGAAAAGAGATCTTTTCTGGCCAAGCTAATCGTTGAATTTTCGTTTGACCTTGATTTCCTTTGAGAATCTAAGTCAAACTCAAGCCTAAAACCATATTTTAGCTTAACCATTGTTTCATTTGGGTCTTAGTTTTTAGAACAGCTTTGATTAAAATAAATTTAAGTAGTTGTGACTATTTTTGCCAGCTGTGCCAGCCAGTGTGCCAGTCAGGTGTGCTTTAAAACACTGCCTACTTATTCTTTTAACTTTAAAAAGCTTTAGAATGGTCTGTATAGCTTGATGCGTTGGTTTTTGAGAAATCACTGTGCAAACTTTTTCTACGAACTTTCTTGCTAACCTAATAGAATCTAACTTTGGTGAAATTTGGTGATCGAGTTCTGATAAAACGATTTTTGGATTATCAAATTTAGTAAACAGTAATCTAGAATCTAGAATAATCTTTCCCCACAAATTCCAGCAGTTAAACGATAATTTCAACTTAGCGAAATAGTCTGTTTATTTCAAAATCCCTCTCCATATTAGCTGACCTCCCAGCAACTGTCCTCCATGCAATTTGGCCAGCTCGACTTCACTATGTGGGTAGAAGCCAGTTTGATAGGATTGAATCTAAACAAATATTTGTTAGATAAGATTTTCTAATGTAAAAGTATCTGATACTTAGCCAGTTGACGAAAAAGTTCTTGTCTTAACTCTAGTTTAAATCAAGACTTTCAGTCGACTTTCAAGACTTTCAATCGTAGAAATTTCAGTTAATCAACCATGACCGTTATTTGTTTTCCTTTTACTTCAAAACTTTTGCAAAGCTTTCGAAAGTTTTAGACTAACTCACATCTTGATATATTCTCCTCGCCTCCTCGACCACTTCAGGCGGTCGACTCTCCACTTGAGCCAAGTACTAAAATTCTCGAAAAATGAATAGACTACTTAAAACTTAAAACATAAGATAATTTAGATATTCAACTGAAAGTTTAACTACCGTAAATACTGTAATAGTACCCCACCGCCCTCGTACAGTCGCGTAGTCGCAAAAGTTTTTTAGTATTTCATTTTTTTCAAAGCGCCCGTACTTACAAAAATAGCGTCTTTGGTATGAAAAAAATAGCTGAAATTCAGGGCTATTTTTTGATACCTAAGCGAGGATTCTAGCATAAACCAGTCTCGAGAAAAGCGCGTCCAAAGCTAGACTACGCAACACTCCGCACCGTCATTATCTTTGGTATCAAAAAATAGCCCTGAATCTCAGCGATTTTTTGATACCCAAGCGAGCATTCTAGCTTAAACCAGTGTCGAGAAAAACTCGTTCAAAGCTAGACTACGCAACACTCCGCACCGTCATTATGGGGGTGAGGTCCAATTACAGTATTTACGGTACGTATCACCCCACCTCGTTCACTATTCCTTCAACCATTTTCGCGTCGTCTCTTGTGTGGAAAAATTTCGATTTCTTGTCCCAACCGAGACAGAAAAACGCTTCAGCGATGAATTCGTTGTACTAAAGTTGTACTAAACTAAATATTACTTTCAAATATTCACTTCTATTAGTTCTATTAGATTTTTACAAAAGAAACCTTTTTGTAAAGAGTATAATTAGCGCAGTGAGCCTTTTGGATTTCGACATTGCGCGCACAAGTGTACCAACTCGGAGCCATCATCTGAAATAAGAAAATAAGAGTCAATGCTTGAATATTCTTTAAATTCTATTAATTTTTTTAATGTTTAACCGAATCTCGTGAGAATTCCTCGGTGAAAACGGGAATCGGAAGGGGAATCGAGCGCTTTATGTCGCTGAACATTCCTTGTCCGACAGCTACGGCTGAAATTGAAGAAATGAGTCTAAGCTAACTTCTAATTGATTCCGTAGATCGGAATTTCATAGCATTAAACTAGACAGACAGACAGACAGACAGAGAGACAGACAGACATAGAGACAGACGGCTCTTTTATATATAGTAGATGACTAGCCAGGACTAGGACTAGACTAGCCAGGACTAGGACTAGACTAGCCAGGACTAGGACTAGACTAGCTAGGTCCATGGCTCACCAGAGAATCTGGCTTTTTGAAAGCCATGTTTTCCGGTGACTCATTGCTCTTGTCTAGTTAGCTGTCTTGTAGCTCCAACCGAGTACTTTAGAGCAAAACATTTACAAAATCTTCATTTCTTTGTCAACTCTTTTCCAAACCCACCAGTCGATAGACATCTCTCGAAAGCCACCGATCTCAGCTTCACCTAAAATTTCCCTCTATTTTTCTAGCTTTTAAATTTTTTTATTAGCCTTTTTTTATCACCAACTTGTTTAACATTGAGTGTTCGATTCAGGAAACCGGTGTTAATGTATCGTATGGCCAATTGTCGTCCAAGCTGATAGCTGTTCTCGATTCCCTCCTAAACAAGGTCAATATTTCAACATTTCCTATAAATTTCCTATAAAATCTCATTTTTATACCTCTGTTAATTGACCAGTTCCATATTTGAAATACGAGATGAGTGAGCCATTCGAGAGGACATCGGGTGCTCGATTCCCGTGTCTCCACGCCTGAATCAAAGATTTTCACTTTGACTTATATGTATGGAAAATTTAGCTATAAATCAAGAACTGGCTTTTGGTCTGTCCTGGCTTACTATCATAAAAAGTCTTGGGTCCACCAGAAGCCAGAAGCTAAAGTTGGGTTTTGTTCGGGATCTGGCCTAGCCATAGGTTGTAGCATCGCTGCCTAGTTGAAAGTATCGCTGCCTAGTTGAAAGCATCGCTGCCTAGTTGAAAGCATCGCTGCCTAGTTGAAAGCATCGCTGCCTAGTTGAAAGCATCGCTGCCTAGTTCAAAGCTTTATGTATTTCTATTCAAATGGGTCAATTTGATTTCCAAAGTTTCTTTGTCATTTTTCGTTTTAAAACTAACCGCATTCACAAACAGCAACGTATCGTCATTCCCTAATTTCGTTGGTCGAATCGGATTCGCAGCCACAAAGATCCAAGTTAAACCAAGAATGAAAAAGGAAAGATTCCGCATCAGTTCGATGGGATCAAAGGCTTTCTGAAAAATATTCGCATTTTGTAACAATTTTTGGCAAAAGATTGAGGAAATAACACTTTTCGGGGGAGAAAATGATTAAGAATCGGTTCAAAAAAAGGAAAATCCGAGCTGAAAATAGCCGTATTTCCACATTGGAAATCGTATTTTTGCAAAGAATATAAAGTTAAAAGAAAAATGAAAAAAATGAAATTGTAAACAGATTGAAATGAAATGATGAAAAAGTTCCAATAAAAAAGATAAATAAATAAAATTCATTTTGAAAGTCTTAAAAGACTTCCTCGTCGAATCGTCGATCCAAAATTTATAGTGTGGAACGAATCTGTGACAAGAGTGACATAAATTATAAAAAAAAAAAAGAATGGAAAACTCTGGCAAAACTCATATTTCAAAAAGTCGTCAGATTGACATTTTTTCAATGACAAAAGAGTCAAATTTGATGCTTATTAGCTATTAACTATTGCGTTTATAATTAGATTTGTTTATAATTTAGATTTGATTTGATTTGATTTGATTGTATTTTTTGGGGCCTCTCTCGGAAACTTTAAAAGATAAATGCTAATTTGAATCACTCGTATCTTTGCGCAGCCATTAAACAATGGAAATCTAGTTAATAAACAATTTTCGAATGTCTTCTTTTCATCTAATATACCGTATTCTCTCTAATAGTAGTGCACTCTATAATATTAGTATTGCGGTCCGAGAGGGGGTTAAAAAAATAGTAGTGCACCCTCGAAAATTTGAATTTCTAATGCTTCTTTTTCATCTAAACCTTTTCGACTGAATATCTTTATGTTTATGTGACATTCTAAAGCTATTCAAGCAAGCAAAAGTGAGGCTTTTTTTTTATTCATTTATTAGCTATTCTTCACATGAAAAAGTTAGCAAAAATTGCAAGATAATCGAGTGTTTAGGCCGTTTGTTGCTAATTTAAGCGTTTTTTCGCTCAAATCTTTAGATCTAGTGGCTCTTTGCCGTAAGTAATTGGCTTATTATTTCATATGTATGTATGTTAGTATCACTGTGCTATTTCTCTAATTTCTTTCAATTTATCGTTTGAATAAAGTGCAATATTTAAATGGTGTTTTTGTTGTTTTATTGTGTTGTCTTTTTCTTTATGGCGCCAAGAGCAAAAAATCTTTTTGTTGTTTGTCAAGACACAAATTGTCAACTCGCCGACCCACAACTGTATGTCAAAAGAAGCCAAAGGAGTACGTGAAAGAATTGCAAGAATTTTTGGAACAATTCTTATATCTGTCTTACTTTGGTAAATGATAAAACTCTTTAATAGTAGTGCACTCTCTAATAGTATTGCGGTCCAGGAGGGGGTTCAAAAAATAGTACTACTATTAGAGAGAATATGGTAAACATTTAATATCTAGTATGTCTATCTATTTAATCAAGCTAATATCTCTAATATTGGGTTGGGGAAATCAGCCCAAACTTTAAAGGAATTTTTCACACCTAAAGCCTTCTTTAAACATACGTTTGGTTTCGGACCCACTGTTTCTCTACAAAATGACTTTTGAGAGATTCCACAAAGCTTTTCTTTCGTGGAGTTTATGAACTTCCAAATGCAGCTGGTTAAAATGGCAAAGAGTCCGACTCATCATTTGAACAGTTTCTTCACGTAAACCTTCTTTGGTGTATAAAAAGATAGAGCACATTCAATTACTTGTTGCAATTTGCAGGAAGATCCCCCCCAGGGGTTTTCTAGATCACAGTTTGAGTTTTTGTGAAAAAATGGCTTTTCTTGAGCGGAGGCGCTGTTTGAATTTTCTTTAAATGTCATTTTGTAGAGAATTAGTTAACCATTCTACTCATATCAAACGCATATTATTTGACGAAGTCGAATAGAAGTTTTAGCCATTTTTTTGATTTTCGGCGCCGACTCATTCTCCCCAACCCAATATAATCAACAAATAAACAATTTCCCAGTGCTAGAACAGTTTTCTGTTTATCTAAATAATAGGTTGATGCATAAGTCTTTTCGTTTTTTTCGTACTTCCGTTAAAAAGTAACAAATTCACGAATTAATCTATAGTTTGCTCTATAAAAAAAGTGTTTTTTTGTTCAATTTGCATCTTTTTAAATGAATTTCGGTTGACTTTCAAGCAAATTCGAGAGTGAAAAACGCCTTTTTCGTAAAAATCTATAAAAAACTCTACGGAAAAATTGGCTGAATGAATTTCTCTGAAATTTTGGCGAAATATCAAACGTTTTTTTCTTCTATCTTTTATCTATTGACACGAAGATAGGTTTTCTTTAGCTAAGGTGTCTAAACCGCATCATCGAGTTAGCCCTTTTTGACTACCCGACTTCATATTCTCAAGAAAATCCAGGCATTAAATAGACGAAAAGGAACGAAAAGACTTATGCATCAACCTATTATATAGCATATATAGGTATACTATATATGTAACAAGCATGTAAACAATCTCAAAAGGCTCACAAAGCTCACAAAGCTCACAAAGCTCACAAAGCTCACAAAGCTCACAAAGCTCACAAAGCTCCCAAAGCTCACAAAGCTCACAAAGCTCACAAAGCTCACAAAGCTCACAAAGCTCCCAAAGCTCACAAAGCTCACAAAGCTCACAAAGCTCACAAAGCTCACAAAGCTCACAAAAGTCCCAAAGTCTACAGTCTACAGTCTACAAAAGATTAATACGAAAGTATCCCTAAATCAATATAAAGTTTAAATGAAATTAATTAAGAAAAATAAAACTAATCTAGTTTATAAAAGAAGAAAATGAGTTTTTACCAAAAAAAGCTCTTGATTTTTAAATAAAACTTGATCAAAAAGAGTTTAGAAAGTAGAATTTACAAGAAATCAATTCAATTTATTAGATTAAACTTTCAAATAAGAAAAAATTTATAAAAAGATCTATTTTATCAATGTGTTCAGATTGATAAGATTGATAAGATTGATCTCAGTGTGAAATTTGGCAATAGAACAATAGGAATTGAATGTGATTCGATTCGCCTCTCTCAAAACATTCACATGAACAAAAAAAAACCGGCCTCTCCTTTTTCCGGGATCTCTTTTCCGAGAGAAAAGAAGAAATCACGCCTGTCATGGATAAAACTTTGCGCGAGGTGATCGTTTTGGAAAAAACGAGTTATTGGATCATCGGATTTGTTCCTGAGAAAAGGGGAAAAAGGGAAATGATCTCAAATGATCCGGGTAAAAATAGGAAATGAAGTAGTTGAGTCTGAGATATCATCAGTATCAGTCACAACCTCAGCGATCAACTGGATTCAGTCGATCAAGGTCATATATGCCTTTTGTGACTAAAATGAATAGCTGAAATCGATTGCCCGACCCCGAAAACCCCAGGTTACAAATTCACAGCTGAATATCTACAAAGCAAAAGCAAAAACCCCTTGTACTGGTGTTCTTTGTGTGGCGGCGTAATCGCTCGCTTTCTGGCTCAGGTTCCCGATAGATAGGTGTTCCCAGAAAGAGCCAAAAAGGGACGGGGAATGGCAAATTACTGACCGGGAAAACTTTTTTCCACTTTGAAGGTTCCACCAAGGCAAGCTTTGCATTAATAATTTGAAACTCAAAAACAGAATCGAAATGCAGAAAACACGAGTTTTCATTTTCGCTCAACAATTCCCACAATTTTTTGTCATTTTCTCAGCTTTTATGGGTTCGATTCATGAAAGGAAAAGTCATGAATCAATTTTCGAGACTTTTTGTGAGAGATTTCTTAGCAATCATCGCTGGCTATTGAACGAAATTTTGGACAAATTGTGAGTTGAAAGGGAAATGGAAATGCTCTGTTCACCAAGTAAATTTACGGTAATAATCGACAAAACCGGTGCTTTTGTTGGTGTTCTTAAGATTCATTTTTGTTGTGGTGTTGTTAATCATCGGATTTCAATTATTTTTTTTGCTTGTAACCCGGAGAAAGAGAGTTTTGTTGGCTTGAAAATGACGTTAAAATGTGGCTGAATAGCTCAAAACAACGATTCGAAAGATGGCAAAAATAAAAGTTGAATTCATTTATTGAATTTACAAGAATTTATAGCTAGCCATGTGTAAACCGATGAGTGGAACCCTCAAACAGCCGGGAGTCCATGAAGCCTGGAAGATAAATATAAATATTTTAGATCCGTATTAGATCAAAAAAAGAACCGTATGGGAACCGTATTGGAACCGTATTGGAAAAGAACCGTATTGGAACCGTATTGGAACCGTATTAGATCAAAAAAAGAACCGTATTGGAACCGTATTAGATCAAAAAAAGAACCGTATGGGAACCGTATTGGGACCGTATTGGAACCGTATTGGAACCGTATTGGAGCCGTATTGGAACCGTATTGGACCGAAAAGAACCGTATTGGAACCGTATTAGATCAAAAAAAGAACCGTATTGGAACCGTATTGGAACCGTATTGCCTTTCAGTATCAGTAGCCTTTCATTTCCGCCACAAAAAAAATTGATAAATAATTAATAAACGATCAAATGCCATTATATAATAATTGGAACCGTTTTCAATGGAATCCATTCATTTTTAATATAAATGTTTTTTAAAAATCATGCTCAAATAAAGTTTTTCGATCATAAAACTTTTAGTTCAAAGGATATCGAAAAGCTAAATCGTTCATTTTAAAAACATTTGAAAATGCTATAGTATAGTGGTGGAAAATAGTTTTGGGCCCCCGATTGTAAGTAAAAAGAGTCTGGAGAACAGCCAATACTTTTTTTCCACCACTGTATAATTCTAGGGCCAAGCAAGGACAAATACCAGTATCTTAGGCTGGAAAAGTGGTCTAGAACCAGCTCTGCCCCTATCTTTCACTCACCAATCGTTTCCATCCGAGAAACTCCAACGCTGTTTTCATTTGTCTCATATCGCCGGGCATTTTACCTGGAAAGTCAGCATTGTTCTTATGGCATTGGCATTGGCATTGTTCTTATGGCATTGGCATTGTTCTTATGGCATTGGCATTGTTCTTATGGCATTGGCAT